GGACATAATATTAAGTTTATCATATATAAGTTTATATATAAGTTTATTAAACCATTATTATTTTTTTTTGCATACTGTATAGTTATATTTGCCTCAGCTGTATCTGCTATGACCAAAGTAAAGGTTTATATTCTTTATCTACTGCATTTTGCACTAATACTTTTACACATTCTTTTTTCAATAAATATTGTAGAATATTATATTTAGCACTTCAAATGACAAGACACAAATGATCACACAATTTTACTTCATTGGACATTCTTTAAACATTTATAAATTTCCATTCATTAATATAAGTTTGCAAGCAACTTTAACTTCCTGATTTATAACTGGGTTCGTTTTCAAAGTCTGTCAGGGTTCCTTCACAAAAACACACAGTATTAGTTTCATATTTTTTTCCTACAGGCTTAAGAGATATGGCTAATTCATTTGGTCGAGATAATGTGATAAGTAAGTTCAATTCTAACAATCTCAGTTTCTCAAGGCCTTTTCAACCACCTACTAACTGTTTTGCTTCAACAAATTGAAATTAAATTTTTGTCTTTTCTGCAGACCAAAAAGTATTGAAGAAACTTTTCCAATACACTGTTCAACAGATTTCAATAACATCAGCAACTCAACAACATTGAAAATCAGAACCCTAATTAGACCATACTTACAGTCCTTGAATATAAGTATTTAATCATTACAGCAAGGAATGTTCTGGCAAACTTCTCTAGATTATCCTAAGCATGACCATAGATTTTTCTACCATGAAATGTAACAGTTGCTTAACATTATGGTTGCGGTACAGTTTTTTTATTTATAAGACTGTCATATCTTTTGATTGTAAGACTATGTCAATATTACATTTGTAACTTAAAACTGGTTTAAAACTGTTCAGACTGTTGACAATGATTTCACCGAATCATATTTAGAGTCTTTCATTAACTCCTTAATGTCTTTGACAAATAGTAAATATGAAAATATTATTAAAATTGTTAAAAACTGGATTAAAAATTTCTATTTTTTCAGACCTTCACTGCATTAAAGGGATCTCAAACTCCCAACACATGTTGTGTTCATATTAAAGATAATGTTAAAAAAAAAGGTTTAAACCAATTTTTTTTGATTAAAAATAAATAATGAATTCATACCGAGAAAAACAAATGTTGTTGTTTTTGCCGAAGCTCGTCTTCTCCATTTTTTTCAACTAATCGGAGTCTTCAAATTATGCGTCGCAATCTACAGACTTTGGCAATTCCTTTGAAGCGCGTTTAATTCATAAAAGTTTTAGTATTTGACGTCACGGTAGACTTTTAACAAAAGAAACTCTGGAAATATTTTTATTTATTTTAGTCGAAGTTTTTTGGTTATTTGCAGTGGCAGAACTACCGGACGCAGAACCCTGCGTTGCGGGGGGGGGGGGGGGGCCTACCAGCTATAGGGGGCCCTCATATAAAAAAAGTTATACTCTCAATAATATTTATACTATAAAACTCTTTTCCGCAAAAAAAACATTCTTTTGCGGGGGGGGGGGGGGGGGGGGGGGGGGGGGGGCCCAAATTTTGAAGTTCCGCCACTGGTTATTTGTTAAGTTTTTTTTTTTTTTTCTACTTTTAATATTTAAAAAGATATTAAAAACCTTAAATCTTTTATGCTGGTTCGTTGCTATAAATTGTTATTGCGCCATATATTTAATGTTTATAAATTATGAATATTTATTATCTCAATCAAGACTCTGATAAAAAAATGTTTTACATTAATTACCCGTATAAAATTATTATCTCAATTATAAGACTCTGATAAATAAATGTTTTACATTAATTACCCGTATAAAATTAGTAACAGCATTTTTATTTGGTTAGATGATATTTTGTCTCAATTTGCTTGGGGAAGTCAAACGAAAAAAATTTATTTGAATAATCACGTCGAAATATATTCAAAACAAATTATTTAAATGACGGGGGTACTAAAGTCTTTTTATAACAAAAGTAGGTAAAAAATAAATAACTAAATAAAAAGTTCAACATTGAACTTTTTTTTTTTGTTATATTGCAACTGTAATTATTAAAATATGAACTTTAACTATATTTACTTATTATTTAGAACGACTTAGAAATAAATAAGAAGCCCCTAAAATTATGCGATATTGTGTAATCAATATGCGATATTGTGTAATCAATATGCGATATTGTGTAATCAATATGCGATATTGTGTAATCAGCGTAATCAAAAAATTTTTATAATAAAAAAATTTAACAGTTCATCAAATATCTCTAATTAAATGAAAGCAATTGCTTGTAATTACTTTTTTTCGACAGAAAAACAAAAAACTTCATAGCGTAAAAATGACCAGAGAAGTTAGAAAAATAGTTTTGATTGTAAGATTTAGAATATATAATACTGCGCTCTCTTGCACAAAAACGAGAGACCGTTTATATAATGTTCTATATAATGTAAAATACTTGTAAGAAAATCATAAGATTGGTAAGTAAAGCTTTAATATTTGTTTTAATTTAAAAACAAAATAAATATAAGTAAGATATATAAATCGAATAATTATTAAGATATCTGTAAAAAACAAGTTGCTCCTATAAAATAAAAATAATTTATCATTTTTTCTTTTTACAAATTTTTTTTTGCGATGTTTAGAAAAATAATACAAATAAATTTGTTTTGCTGTATGTTAAAAAAATACTACAGTAGAAAAACGCAGCTTAGTTTAATTACACTTTTCTTTTGTTAAAAGTCTACCTCGACGTCAAATACTAAAACTTTTATGAATTAAACGCGCTTCAAAGGAATTGCCAAAGTCTGTAGATTGCGACGCATAATTTAAAGACTCCGATTTGTTGAAAAAAATGGAGAAGACGAGCTTCGGCAAAAACAACAACATTTGTTTTTTTCGGTATGCATTCATTATTTATTTTTAATCAAAAAAATTTGGTTCAAACCTTTTTTTTTAACATTATCTTTAATATGAACACAACATGTGTTGGGAGTTTGGGATCCCTTTAAGTGAAGGCCTGAAAAAATAGAAATTTTTATGAATTGAAATCTCCATTTCATCCTCAACTTATTAAGACATCTACCTATTAATTTAAGTAGAATAAATATGTTTAAAAGTTTGTGTATTCAAACTTAATTTTTTAATTAAATGTCAAGCTCTTTGCAGCATTAAAATCAAAGAAAATAAAAAAGGCTGAATAAAATTATTTGTTAATGTCATTTTGCAGACTAGTAAGACTATCATCATACAAGCAGTACTTTGCAGACAAATCAAGATAGATTATGATAAATTTTAAAATGCAAATTCTAGCAAAACGTTGCCTATGTATATTAGTCCACAAATAAAAAAAAGTTTGTTTTTTAATCGTTTAGACAATTCCCAAATAAGAGTGAATATGTGGGGAAAAAAATACAAATTAAAATACAATAGCTTTTGGACTTTTATGTATGTTAATACAATACACTACAATAATTACTGTAATTGCATTTCTTTAAAACAATATAGTCTTTGAAATTTTTTGTTTTATAAGTATAAATCAATGCAATTATTGTATTTATAATTTTTTTTTTTTTTTTTTTTTTTTATTTGCATTCACTCCCAACAAGGCTGCAAGCAACCACTATTAAGTTGGGAGTTACTAGGAAAAAAAAGAACAGAGTTATAGAGCAAGGAAACGGTTGACAGAAGACTTGAAAAGTTGAAGGTTGTAGGAGTCAGGAAAACATGAAGATGGGAGAGAGTTCCAAAGGATTGAAGTGCGGGGAAAAAAACTAGATGAATAAAAGTTTTTAGAGCATGCTGGGACAGATACAGTAAACGAATGAGACTTAGCTGAATGACGAGTAAAACGAGAATGAATTTTAGTTGATGGAACTAGAGATGATAACTCCTTTGTCAAAATTTATCAAAACAATAAAATTATTGTGAGACATGAATTGTAAATACAAAAAAATAAAATAGTTATTGCAAAGTTTTTCCATACAACAATAAAATACCAAAATTTTTCTTCTTTTAACGTTTCTGAAATATTACAATACAATATTACTGTATTGTGTTATTGTATTTAATTTTACAATTACAATAATCCAAACTCTAATTGTTCTAGCAACAAACAAAGTTGATTATAAAAACATTAAAATCAAAATGCATTGAAATTAAAAAACTAATAAAAATACCTCAATTAGAAAACCAAAAAAATAAAAAATATAGAAAGTTGAAAAATTCTCTTTTACAGCCTTTTTATTTTACAAACTACACCTTTTCAAGATGTAATTAAAAATATGAAAATTGTTGTTAAGAAGTTGTAACTGAGAAAAAACAACATGTAATTAAGAAACACAATATGTAATCAAGAAATCATAACATGTAGTTAAAAAACACAACATATAAGTAAGAAATTATAATATGTAATTGAGAAACAAAATATGTAATTTAGAAAATTAAATAATTAATTAAGTATTTAATTAAGTATTAAGTATTTAATTAAGTATTAAGTATTTAATTAAGTATTAAGTATTTAATTAAGTAATTAATTAAGAGAATTAAGTAATTTAATTAAAAAAATTTTGTTTATTATTTATAACTTTCATGCTCTAAATTACATCTCTAAATTGCTTCTTAATTATTACTTTTGTGCTCTTAATCAAATCTTGAAAAAATGTTGTACTAAATTTTTTAATAGTATGATTACTAATAATCTAAATATAAAATCTCATACCATTGATTCTCATTAAGAATAAATATTTTATAATAAAAATAATACTTCAAATAAATGTTTAATAGTTTGATGTTTAAATATTTAGTTTAAATTTTTCACCACAACTTATCATTGAAGATAGCAATGTTAAACATACAATTTAAATTAACATTATACAGTGTACAATTTAATTTAATTGTGAATAATTTTAAAATTTGGTAAGCTATTAAATAAGTGCATAGATATTTAATATTTTTTAAGAAAATACTGTTGTTATAAAAAAAAAATTTGCTAATTAAAAAAAAAACTTACCGAAAAAATCGGCCAAAATATCATCACCAAAAGGATCATGTTCAAAAAATTCTCTAAAATATATTTTATATATTAAACCATTAAAGCACATATATTTTATTTAAAAATCAAAAATTTACATAAACAGTTTCTAAATACATATTACAACAATTCATTATTAACTATAGTTAAAAGCTCAGTTTGTCTTACTAATTTAAAGGTTACAACTGGTATTGTATCAAATTTTATCTTTTTTTTTTTTACACTTTTAATTTTTTATTAGAGGTCTTACAAAAAATACATTTGCAGGTATGTCAAGGAGGAAAAAGATTGGTAATAATGTGGCAGTGATAGTGGTGGTGTGTGTATATGTGTGTGTGTGTGTGTGTGTGTGGGGGGGGGGGGGTTAATGTGTATCAAGCGGGTGTGTGGAGTCATAAAAAAAAAGTATTAACTCCAACTCCAATTCTTGAAAGTTTCGGATTATGACTCCGAAACTCCAAAGAAAATTTTTTTTTAAGCCAAATATATTAAAAATTCTTTGAAGGTTAAATATTTACAAAAGTACATGCACATGCAATACAGAGAAGTTTTAGTAATGGAATCGGAGTCACAATTTTGTTTAACGACTCCAACTCTGCTACAAACGTCGTGACTCCGACTCCACAGCCATGGTATCAAGTACATACGCGATTTGACTATTTCTCATTCTCCATCTCAAATTTTTTTAAACAAAAACATTGAATTTCAAAAGTTAAAAAAAAAAACAATATTATGTCAATACTATGCTATGTAACAAAGAAATGTTAAAATGCAAAAATGTTTTTTTGTTTTTAAAGTTTTGAAAAAGTTATGCATTGGGAAAGAGCGAATAAGGCATTGATTTTGAAGTAAAAAATGTGTACATATACAGAGTGGGATCACTGAAAGCATACAGGTAGGTACAAGAGGAGGAGATTCCAAAACTTGTCGTTTTATTGCATACATATTTTATGAATGCCAACCTTAGCTAGTTTTTTAAGTTAACTTTGCATTTAAACATATGGTATTTTCCTAATATTACTGGGTTTTAGGGGTATTTGTAGCAATCACCATTTAATTTGAAGCAATCATTATTCACAATCTATTAGTGGTCAGAGTACTTTTAACACCATAAAGTCATGTAAGTTTGGATTGTAAGGATTGTGATTTTCTTATATCTAACTATACCAATAACTCTCATAACAATACTTAGATTTTATAACTAAATTAAATTAAAAAAACTAAATTAAAAAAAAAAAAAAAAAAAAAAAAAAAGGCTTTTAACTTATCATGGCCATAATTAGAGATTCCATATCTAGATTTTAGTATATCGGAATTACCAAATTCATTTGTTTTTATTAGATTTGAAATTTCAGAATAGAAAGAAACCAAATTCTGGATAATTCAGATTTTTATATTGTTAGCTTTTTTTGAATTTTTTTTTGTTGTGCTTAAAAGCAAAAACCAATGCAAAAAACAAAAACCTGCAAAACATTTTGTTTTTATTGAATTTTATTGTGAAATTGTGAACATGCAGGTTGCGTGTGTTTACATACGCAACCTGCATTTTAATAATATTTATTATATAACATTTATTATATAAGCTCAGTTCAAATCATATTAGGTAAGTATTATCAGTTTTAACTTTGCATAAATTTATTGTGTATACTTAATTTCAAATTTTTGTAGATATATCCTAACAGAACTCATCAAAATTGGTGTGGAATTATTTATTACGAGACGAAAAATCAAGTGGAAAAGTGCCTACAGCGTAAGCAGATTTTAAAGATATTGGGTAGATGTACGACACCAATGCATACCCATTTGCTAGCAGACCACAACAAGGTATTGAAAAAACAAAAAACTGATAGTGATTCAAGTGTTGCTGATTATGTTAAAATTTTCCAAAAGAAAGAAGGTATTTTTCAGTGTCACACTTGATAATTGGACTTCTTCTCGTAACCAGCATTTTATTAATGTTAACGCACATAAATTAGGAAGTCATGTTTGGAATTTAGAGCTGTCTCGTATTAATGGTCAATTTGAGACTGAGGGTTGTGTAAAGTTGTTGGAAAAGAAGCCAAATTTACCAAATAAATATTCACAATGATATTTTGTAAATTGGCTGACTGTGCATCAACAATACAAAAAGTGAGTTACTTGTTACTTTGTGAACAAAATTTATGTTTTTCCCATACAATTCAAATTGCTGCATATATATATATATATATATATATATATACATATTCTATAAAAAGCTAACTGAAGTAGAAAAAAATAAATGTAATGGTGAAAGTCAAATCTAAATCTTGAATCCGATGAAGAAAATCTTACTGATGAAAAAGATGAAAATGGAATGTGGGTAGATATTAGAAATGAAACTAATATTATAAAAACCACTGAAAATTTCCAACTATGAGCATTGATCACTAAACTGCAAAAAGTTGTTTCCTTTGAAAAATGAAGTACTTCAAAAATAAGTGAAGCAAAATTGTGAAAAAGAGTTATACCATGTGCAAGATTTGAAAGTAGATGGAGCAGCATGTTGTTCATGTTAGATTGCTTAAATGTTTTTAAATCTTTATTAAAGAAAGCACTAATTGATATCTATGTGAACATACTTTTATATGAAACAGAATGGGATACAGTATTACAGATATCAAAAAATCTGATAAAATTAGCTGTAGATGCGCTATGCTGTGCTTACGCCAAACTTAATTTTTGAGAATGCAACATTTACGTTTATGTTACAAAATTTAGGTGAGAATAACAATATTGGTCTTGCATTGAAAAAAGAGCTAGAAATCCAAACTAACCAGAGAACTTTTTTATCTGATGTTTTACAGTAGCTGCATAAAGGAAATAGAGGGGGAAAAAATCATAAGAGAAATTCTGTTTGTTCTAAAAAGGAAATAAATAACTATACTCTAACCCTAGCCCGACATCTTAATAATGAAACTTCTCTGAAAGTCAATTCAACGAATTCTGAGTCTGATCCTGATATAGAATCTAAATTTGAACCGAATGAAAGTAAAACTGAACCCTCCTTGGCAAAAATACAACAGCAAAAAATACAGCAGTCACTTTTAAACCTGAGAAGAACTCTAAAAAAATCATCAATTCAATCAGCAATATGAAATGAAATTAAACTTTGAAATGAAAGTGGGTCACATGGACCACTTTTGGAAAATATTTACAATAATCTGTGTATTCCTCCAACAAGTGTTGAAGCAGAGACAGCTATTTCCATTGCTGGAATATTTTCAATAAAAATCAGGCCAAGACTTAATGGAACGACATTGAATTTGTGTATGCTAAGAAACTTTTTTAAAAATCTTTAAAAAAAGAGTTTATATATACAAATGTTTATATATACTATTTTATACAATATACAAATGTTTATATATATACAAATATACAAATGTTTTTATATACTATTTTATTTTTCTCATTGAATTAGTTTTGTTTAATTTGTGTTTTTTTATTGAATTTGTTTTGTTCTATTGAGATACTTAAAAAAAATTAATTTTAAATAATTTGAAATGTTTTAAAATTTTTTTTTTCTTTCGAATTTTTTTACAATTCTGGAATTATATCGGAATTCCGAATTTCATTTTATGTCATTCTGAAAATTCCAGAAATCATTTTTTGATAAAAATTGGATTTACTATTCATAATAAATACTAAAAATTTTATATTTGTTTATAAAAATAAAGGTATGATTCTATGAATAAAATCCTTACTTCAATCACCATACAATTTATTAGAGGCCTCATTATAAGTTTTGTATCATTTGAAGTCTTTTGTTTGCTTGTTTAGTTAAACAAATAAAATATTGTTTCTGTAAAATCTGATTTTTTGGAAATTAATAATCAATTTTTTATTTATTAAAAGTAATTTTTTTATTTATTAAAAGTAATTTTTTTAGTCAAAAATCGTTTTGACTAAATATTTTACATAAAATAAAAATCTATTGAATAAAACACATAAAGCTAGGAAACAAAACATTTAGGTAAATACTAAATGCTGTTTATAGTCATGTTTAAAACACTATTTCTGCAAAATTTCTGCAGAGAATATATATTATAAGGACTTATTGAACAAGTATTTTTTTCACAAATAATTTTATAAATATTAAATAATTTTTTTTTTTATTTCTTGAAGAAAAACAAAAAGCTTTGTTTAAAACAATTTATTGTTTTAACTAAGCATAAAAAGTTAAATACAATTTGATAAGAGACTTTAAAAGTTCAAAACAACTTGATAAAAAAAAAAATTACAACTTACTAGATTTCAAATTATTTTAAAAGGCATATTATAAACATTTGACAATATAAACAATAATTACCTGAATATATCTTCTGCATGCCGAAATGAAAATGAAGCACCACTAAATCCATTAAATGATGGTTCTTGATAATGTCCTCCACCTATATTTTATATATTTAAAAATTAATCTTGTCTAATAAGCTAAAATAAAATTACTATTTATGTATTAAATAAAAGCTTAATTTATCAACCTCCAGCTTTCAAACCATCTTTGCCATAAACATCATAAACATTTCGTTTTTCTTCTAAAAAAATATTATTAACTAACTAAAAAAAACATTCAAAAATAATAATTGGATGTTTTTAAATAATTTTATTTTTTAAAAACAAATACTGATAAAAGATCTTACTGTCGGATAAGACTTCATAAGCTTCTGATATCTTTTTAAACATCTCCTCTGCTTCTGCCTTTTTATCGGGATTTTTATCAGGATGCCATTTAAGAGCAAGCTTTCGATACCTTTATAAAATTGAAAAGTAAAAAAACAAACAACAACACAAACTAAAAAACAAAAATATACTTTTTCTAGTAGAATCTTATCTGCAAAGATATCCCTTACTGTCTAATAAATTTAGATAAAGTGAATTTGTAGAGGTAGGAAAAGTATTTGAAAATAAAAGTAATTGAGATTTGAAAAATTTGAAAAAACTTGAAAAATTTTGAAATTTTATTTAAAATTTTTTTCAAGTTAATGCGTTTAAACAAGTTTGTTATGTAGATAAATTTTAACAACACCTTAAATTTAGAAGGTTGTAGAGGTGGTTGCTATAAAATTGGGAGTTGTACCAAAAATTCTCAAGAAAGTTACAAATTTTACATAGCTATAATTATAAATTACCACTATAATCCAAAAGCATGAATTTTCAGAAGCATGTAATAAATAAATAGACAATAAAAGGTTTATTCTTTAACTTCATTGTATCTGCATAACTACATTCATTAAATATATATTTTAGAGTATACAGACCATGTTAAAATAAATAATTGTTTACTAAAAACATATAAAAATTTATTTAAATGTCTGCAGGTTTTTAAAAGATTATTTGCAAAATAATTTAACTAGTCAATAAAAATAAGAATCAGGAACTAAAATATGCCCAAAAAAAATCAAATATCAACCAAATGCAGTTCATGTCACTGACTCCCATCTGTAAAGTAATGCAAGTCGCTCAAAGCAATAAAATAGAGAACAAATTCATTTTTGCTTGAGGAAAATAGGATTAAAAGTGATTCTTCTAAAGAGAAAATGCAGACTAGATTAGTTTCAAGCAGCCCCCCCCCCCCCCAAAAAAAAAAAAAAAAAAAAAAAAAAAAAAAAAAAAAAAAAAAAAAAAAAAAAAAAAAAAAAACTTAGTTTTTTTGAGTTTTACACACAAAAATTGCTTAAAAAACATAAAATAATGCTTTAGAGATACTTCATGCCAAATGATCCAAAAAATTTAAAAAATGCCACTAATGATATTGCAAATTTCATTTTTATACAATTGGAGGAACTTAATAAAATATGAACTCTATGAAAATGTCAGTCTTTAACTTTAAAAATTCTTATCTAAAAAGTAATACTTTCCAATTTTCTGGGGTAAGAAATCTGCTGAAATTATTAGAAATGCCTTGAATGCTGGTAAAAAAAAAAAATGCCTGTTACATTAACATCTTCATTTATTTGTTTAAAGTAAATAAGTGAGGAAGTTAATGTAACATCTTCAATACCTTGTAACAAAGATTTTTTGAAATAATAGGATGATTTTTCTTTTGTTTTGCTTTAGTATCTTACTTGACATTTTGCATTACAGAAATGAGCAGTTAAAGGGATACCTGTACATGAAGGGATATACACCACAATATAGAAACTTGATAGTTAATTTCATATGCGCTTAATTTGTAAGAGTTTAGAATATGACATCATTGTTGAGTATGAATACAAATTGTCTTGTCACTTTGTGCTGTATATTATATATTAAAGTAAATTAGAGGTGAGCTTAGAATAAAAAGGCAATATTAGTTTTTATTATTTAGTTTTAATCCAAAAAATTTAGCCTAAACTTTAATTTTAAATATTTTTTTAAATACAAACACAACTTGGATCATTCTTGGGAATCCCTTTAACTCATTTTTAGCCTTGGACATGAATTTGTATTCTTTATTTGTTTCAGTGTGACTAATGACAATTGTTGTTTTTTGCCACTGATTAAATGATACTTCCTCGTCATAGTAATTTTCAATTAATTGGGTAAAAAGGGTATGTTTACAGGCTTGGCTGGGAAGTGGGAGTGATCACTCTTGAATACTGACCATGAAAATAATATTTAGTTAAGAAAAACTGGCCAGATTTCTTAGTCGTTTTAAAAACATTTAAGTTTAAAAAAATTTTCTTTTACAGACATACATGGAAACATAATGAACTTGAGTATTCTCAAAACATCTTGGTGCGGAAGAATAAAAAGAATATTCGATTTGTTACGTTTTGAGATTTCTAGCATAAATTGTTTTAAGAATATATTATCAATAGTATGACTCATTCTCAGAGCCACATCTGCAAAGTCGTAAATCTTTTTATTATTATTTGTTTACAAAAATAAATGTTTTTTAATATATATTTTTTAAAAAGTCAAAATTTTGAAAGTTATAAATTATATAGAAATTTTATAAATTATAGATTTTATTAGTATATTCTTGTTTTTTATTTAAAAAGTATGTATTTTTTATGTAAATGAAACTTTGTGTATCTGTTTTTTATCGCAATGTATTTATTTAAAGCAATTTTTATGATTTAATTTGTAAACAAAGACTTACAAAAATAATTGCGTTTTCAATGAAGTTATTAATGTCAATAAAACTAATTATGTAACAAACATACAAGAAGTTTCTGGTTACTAAACACAAACAATGCATACAAAGTAACTCACAATTTTTGAAAAAGCACCGCGCCTGAGGTCACGACAGAACACAAGTATATATAGCAAGTTATTAGATATAAAGAAAAGTTTCTAGATATTGGTTTATTAACTCTAATTATTTTCATTTCAGTTGCCATTCTTAAAAACTCGTTATACTTTTTTCTGCTTTAAATACTAATTAAAATTAAAAAGCCTACTCACTAAACATCATCAGCGATATTGTGAAGCAGTTTCACTTCCTCATCATAAAGTATTTTTAACCTTTTTAGTTGATTTCTATCTAGTTAATTTCTATATCTATGAAGAATTGTTTCAAATATATTAAACTTTTCAAACTACGTGAAGCATAAAATAGGTATTAAACTAACTTTTTTATTTATAAAATAATTTAGCTTGGATAAAACTAAAACTTGCGTTAGTTTTATTAGAATCTTGTTATTATTTTCGGGGCCGGGGGCTATTTTTATTTTGGATGCCTTTGTATGTGCCACAGCATAAAAATGACTAAACAAAAAGGTCTTCTTGTCTTTTTTGGGGCATTAACATTGCGGGGCCCGGGGCTATAGCCTCCTCTAACTCCAACCCTCCTTAATCTAGCACTGGAAATAAGATACAAGTATATAAATAAAAATTATATTACACTCTTTGAATTAAAGAAAATTTGTTTCCTAAACAATCGAAAGATGTTACTTTATATAAAAAAATGTTAATTAACTTTATAAAAAAAAAAAAAGAAAGATATTTCGAAAATATTTGTTCTAAATGTAATTTATTTTGCTTCAAGTTTTTTCGTGTTATTTTCAAATTTTATAAATTTTATATCAATTTTAATATCAATTTTATTAACAATTTTAATATCAAAACTTATTATCAAAGATATTTTATTTTTCTAATTTTTTTTTTTGTAATTGTCTCATTAGTCCAATCTTTAACGCATTTTTTTTGGTTTTTAAAATATTTTCAAAAATAACTAAAAAATCTGGCCAATTTTTACAACTAAATATTATTTCTATGGTCAGTTATCGAGAGCGATCGCTCCCGCTTCCCAACCAAGTCTGTGTTTAGAGAAACTATACCCAGAAAGAAAAGACATTAATGAACAATGCGCTTGTTACTTGTTACAATACAAGCAATTTTTGTCATCAAATCTTTGTAGGTACATTTCCAATATGTAGCGTTGGTAAGAATATTATATTTTAATGTTGGGCACAAACACAAACGAACTGAGTTCCTGATGCATTAAGCGTTATACATCATATATTAGTCATATATTATCAAGACCACATTGATTTTTGAGCATCTAAACCAGGTGTAGAAAAACTGATAATTTCATTGGTTTCTTTACCCCAAATAATAGCCAAGTATAAATTTTAAAGTAAAAAGAACAAACATTTTCAAAGCTTTACCAATAAATCAATATAAGTAAGAGTTACATTTCAAGGTTGTTTACAAAAAGTAAAATTACAAACATTAAGTAAACACCTAATGACAATGTTTAAAATAATAATGGTTACAATAACAAAAATACAACTTGTAATAATAAAGATAAGAATCACAATTAGAATTAGAAAAACAAAAATAACAACAACAACAATAATAATTAAAATATTGTCACTTGTTTTTATAAACACAATAGCTATATATGCAATGTTAGACACTTACAAATAGTTAACTGATAAAAAGTAACAACTAACCAAGAAATAAAACTATTGTGTAAATTGAAAACAAGAAAATAAGAATAAAATTATTAAAATTAAAAAAATATAAATGCATACATGCATATACATATGCATACAGAAATATACATATGTGAATGCATAAACACAAATATTAATGTATATACACATATAGATTTACAGTTTTAAAATTACATACAATTTTAAAAAAGGCCAACCAACATTAGCCAAACTAAAAATTAAAACACAGGACAATACAAACAATGTATAAAAAACATATGATAACATGAACAATACATGACAATGGCCAAGGAATAATACATAATGCCACTTCCAAAAAAAAAAAAAAAAAAAAAACAAACAGCACACAAAAATTTCTAAAATAAACAATGTACAAAATTACAGGACAATTTAAACAATACACAAAAATACATGACAATATAAACAATGTACAAAAACAATTTTAAAAATTTTCATTTTTTTAAAATTTTTTTTTACTGTTAGTAAAATTCATAGTATTTATTTTTTATTATTGTCCATTTTTGGAATTTTTTGTTTAACTTTTAACTTTAATTTTTGTTAATGTTAGACTTTTATTTAGTTTATGGTTTATGTTTTTTTTATTTAAATTGTTTGATCTTGTTTTTACATTGTTGTTGTTTTTTTATTCTTCTGTTTTTAAAATAACTTTTTAATTTTCCTTTCCTTCATTTATCTCTTCTTTTCTTTATAAAACTTACCTCCAACATTTCCAAACTTACCTCCAACATTTGCAAACTTACCTCCAACATTTGCAAACTTACCTCCAACATTTGCAATGTCATTGCAAAGTAATTGTTTTATTTAATGGTTAATTTATGATTTTATAGTCATTATAAAACTATTAAAATTGCAGTTGCATTGAAAATTTTAACTGCAACTTCAATTATAATTGTATCGAGGATTGAAATTTGGAAAACTTAACAAGTAGGAACTTAACTTGAAAATAATTTCATAATAATAACTTTTACAAATTTAATATTTATTTCAGGGCATGGACTAGTTTTTCAAGACACTCAAGAATCTAGCATGTTAAAAAAACAAACAAAAAAAACAATGGAAAGAAATTAAAATGGTACATACGCTTTTTTGATATCGTTATCAGTTGCAGATTTTCCAACTCCTAGTATGCTATAATAGTCATCAGGCATTTTAAATCTTTATCTCTAAACAGCTAAGAACAGATAAGAACTATGTAAGAAATTTATAGTTATACACATAAAATGTTTATATATACATTTTACAATACATATATATATATATATATATATATATATATATATATATATATATATATATATATATATATATATATATAATATTATATATATATATATATACATATATATATATATTATATATATGTATATATTATATATATATTATTATATATATATATTATAGATATATATATATTATATATATATTATTATATATAGTTATATATATATATTATATATATATATATATATATATATATATATATATATATATATATATATATATATATATATATATATATATATATATATATATATATATATATATATATATATATATATATATATATATATGTATATATATATGTATTGTAAATATGACAAATTGGAAAAAAAAAAGACAACTTTAATTTGTCTTTACAAAAATTATTATTAACGACAAGTTTGTTAAAAAACAAAATTTTTAAAAATAGATGCTATCAGTCTAAAATAAAATTTATTTTCATATTTTACAAGTTTTTTTTATGTATTTTTAAATTGTTTGTAATACATTTAAAATATTATACAGAAAGATAAAACTTACTCACGTTTGATTTAATTTACAATTTAAAAAATTTTAAAATTTAAAAAAAAAGCAGTTTAGATAAATATAAAAAAATTATAATTGTACTGCATAATTAAATTAAATATAGTAAAAAAAATATTTAAGTTTTATGGTCCTAAATTTATACTCTCGATTTTATAAGAATCGAAATTATTATAGAAATTTCCAGACATCATTATCACAAGTTCCGGTTCCGGTTAAAAGGAACTTTCTATAAATATTCGCTTTCCTACAAATTAATTAAATATTTTGATCAGTGATCTCAGAATAAATAAAAATACTTTGAGATCAGTAATTATGACTTATGAAATAAATTTTGCCAAATGTCAAGTACAGACATGGAGCACCAAATTTTTTAATTTGTCTGTTAACTTCAAATACGACAAACTGACACTTGCTCGACTCGTGAAATTTTGACCCAGAGAGAAACCAAATTTTTCCAAAATAGGAGCCGCAAAATAATTATATATCATATAAAACTATCAAACTATGGCTGTAACTAAGGTCCTAATTGTATGTATTCAATGTGAAACCAAAGTAATTAATTTGTCTATGGCAAGATGGCAAATAGTTTAATAACTTATTGTAAGACAAAAACCTATTTAAAGAATTTAACAAAATCGAAAGTTTTTTATAGATTGATAGGAGTTTTTTTTTTATTTTAGCATTTATTTCCTTAAGCGCTCAGTAAAAGAAACTATACACTGAATTAATTTTTTTTACAACTATTCAAAAAATTGCGTATATCGATAAAGTGCATTTTAAATAAATTATATAAATCTTAGCATACACTTATTAATCTATAACAGACTACATAATATTTAATATGTAGTCTATTATAGTTTAATGAATGTGTATGCTATGATTAATATAGTTTATTTAATATGCACTTTATCTCCAAAAAAAAGTCTCCGAAAGCTTCTATTAGAATAAATACACTTTTAATTAAAAAACAAAAACCTTTAAAGTTCCTTTAAAAGAAGAGATGATAATTTTTTTTTTGGTATCCATACATAGAATACATTTAAGGGGTATGCCCCCCAATAATTTAAGAAATATTTTGAATTTTTTAAAAAAAATAACTTAATTGTTTTTAAATCAAAAATTAACGTAGATTCCGAATTTCGACAATTCAAAGTCTATTTTTAAGTTGTTTTCTCTAAAAATGCGAGTTTTGCACATCAGATATTATATATTTGTAATATAAATTTTTTTTATATCCAAATCACCTACCTATCTAGACCATCTCTAGATGTTTATTACGACAATAATCAACCAGATTTGCTTCACTGCTTAAAAATTACAATGAAAATGGTAGGCTATAGTAAATTAACAACTGAAAAACGTCACATTATTGGGTTCACTTTGATGACTTATGATTGTAATAACCTTTTCAAATTTTTATAATAAAGTTATAAGTATAAGAATAAGGACAAATCAAACTATAAAGCGTTTATACTCTTGTAAATAAAAACTCTATGGAAATATGCTCATAAAATCATTTCAAGCAATCATTGAGAGTTTATCTGATCAACAAAAAGTTCCAGTGCTGTTTTTTTGCTATGGTTCCAGTGCTGTTCTTTGCTATGGAAAATCCTATTATTTCTTGCTCTGTCTCTGGATCAAATGCTTCAAAGAAATAAGTAAAGGATATTAAATACAAAGAAACAGATAAAAGATTCAGAGTTATTGATGTATCTATTTAAGCTCAAGTTTTTAATAAACTATGCTGTCTAGAATGCCATATTAAAAAACTGTCACTTACTAAAAACTTTTTCAATTAGCTTCTTCTTTGAGTGTATTATCTGAATGTGGTTTTTATTTATATTTCATGTTTACAAATGTAGATGATTTATACATAAAAAAAAGCAAATTTTGCTAGCCTGTTCCATATAGCATCATCCAAAACAAACCAGTAGCACAATCCTTTTACTAATTCCAAAAACAGCAGGTGCTTGTTCAGCGAGAAAAAATAAACAAAACAACAATGTGCAAACCAAATGTTGGATTGCCTTTTTATGTAATAAGTCATGTCAAAGCTACTTACAATGATCTCAATGATGACAGTCTTTTATTGATGTATCTCCATGGATTAACACAGAATTCTAAAAAGTCTTTTAATACAATAATTTGGTAGTTGTTTTGTTGGTTTTTATAAAATAAAACTTATAGATTAGATGTTTTGCCCAGTTTTAACATTGGTAGTAAAACATTTTTACAAATTCTAGAGGTGGTAAACTTTACCCCTAGCCATTTAAGAGCAAAAGGATACATCAATGATAACAAATACTGACTTTATTCGGCACATTACAAAAATACTGTCAATGCTAAACGTTGTAAAAAAATTATCTTTGGGAAGAAAAAATCATTCGATGACAAAAGTATTCGAAAAGAAGGGACTGCTTATGATTATAGAACTTTTATATAGCTTTTTTTTTTATATAAATATTTTTGTATGTTATGTTTAAAGCTGAATTAGTTTTATACACAATTTTAAATTTTAAAGTTCTTTTTCTCAAAATGAGTAAAATTTATTCATGAGCCAGATTTAGCAAATGATATCTTAAAAACTATAGATGGTAGAGTGATCAAATTTTCAGGGTATGTTTTTATGACTTGTACTTGCAACTTAAGCTAAAAAAATTTGAGTCTTTACTTGTAAATCAAGAATTATTCTTGTTTGTATTTTACTAATTTTTTTGAACAAATATTTGGGGTAAGTGAGGCAAAAATAATTTTTTTTTTTTAGTTTAAGTTGTAGACCTTTGTAGAGTCTTGTGTCAAAGTTTCATTTAGAAATATATAACAGTTCTTAAGCTATCTTCTGCTAAAAATATTGAAATTTTTCTCATTTTTCTGCCATTATAGACATTTCCTATCAATTTTTTTTTTTTTTAAATAATTTGCAATAATTTATTTAGACTTTCCAGAAAATTTATAGTTTTATAGCATGTAATACCAAATTGTCGTTTTAGATTTATCAGGGGGCATACCCCTTAATGCATTTTTGTACTGATTAGAGTAGCCCCAATTGTAACAACCATGACAATTTATAACGATGTATAGCATGAACAGGCTCTCGTCTGACCAATTAATCTTGATCAGCAAATTGGAATTTTATTCAACCTTTGACAACAAAATTTCATTCTATTTTCAAAATCATCTTTGCTCGCTATAGCTCCCGTACCGTACCTAGTCTGAGTGGTTAAAATATAGGAAGACGGAAGAAGACGGGCAAGACAAGGCAAGATGGGAAACGTTTTCTATTTTGCAAAACTGTTAGTCATAAAGCTATAATTTTTTAGGTATATTAGTTTTATCATAATGATTCACTGTCTGCATGAGTTTTCAGTTAGCAAATAAACAAGGTTTTTAAGAAAAATTTTGCATATAAAATCACGTAAACTTTATTTTAAAAACCAATAGGTATTCTAAAATTCAAGCTACATTTACAGTTTTTTTTCACCCATTTATATATTTTTTTCTAAATTTGTAAATTTTAAAATGCCATCTAGTCCGGTTTTCCTATATTTCTTGAAAAACATGATAATAGTTGCTTGAGCTGATTCTCATTACAATAGCGCTCATTCGAATTGACAAATCGTCGTCGGTTTCCTGTACTATTTCACTAACGTTTTGTACAGCTTTTTAGTAACAATAACAATAAAACACTGCCTTTTTAATATTTCAAATCTTTTTGAATTGTTTTCTCATAAGGTGGCTTCGTGGAAAGTAATTTTTTCATTAAATTTTATACATAAATTAGGGTTTGTAATCTTGAGCTACATTTTTAATCCCAGGTTTTCGGTTTTGCAGTTATCTAGTCCCGGGATTCCGGGATTAATACCATATTTTTGAATACCTGTTCTTGAATGTTATTAACTTATTTTTTGTAAAATTTTCAGAAAATTTATAAATAACGCATTCAAAAACAGGTTTAAAAAAAACTAGTTATTAAATTGAAAACTCTGTGGTTTTTTAATATTGTACATCTGTAATTATTACGAGTTATATCCGAAAACGAAATCTTTTTTTTGACATGCTATATAAATACAATGTTTTGCCAGTAATCGGGGCCGTTCCGAGGAGGGGGACCTTTTTTTTCTTTAATCAAGATAAGTTAGTTGTCAAAAAATTTTTTTTTTTTGGCTATAGTCGGCAAAAAACAGACACGTCACCCACCCTTTAAAATCTCTTTGACTCGGGTAACTAGAACTTCTCCAACTGCAATAGATAACATTTTTATTAACAATTAATAAGAAACATCATTTGAGGCAGGAATATTCAAAACTGATATTAGTGATCATTTCCCAATATACATTAACATAAAAAATATAAAAGTTATTCCAAAAGATCAAACCCATATATT